ATTTCAGCTATACCAGGACTAATGGTACCATTCTATACCCTGAAGTCATCAGCTTTCATCCCACACAATTTTTCTGGTACATGACCTATCCCTAAAGAGTCCTTTCTCCTTCATGGCGCTGTCCTGCCATGGCTTCCCTGGTCAGTGACAAGACAGAAGTAAGTCCTTCTGAAATCGTTGGCTCAGAAACACCAGTGCATGGGAGAACTGGTAAGTCACCCCTCATTCCTAACCACTCCTTGCCAGTTCTGGAAGTGAGAGAAACTGCTTTCTTCATTGTTTTACAGGGACAGATGACTTATTGAAGGTTTGGAGGTTTGCTTTGTTTTTAATGTAGATTAATTTTCCCCTAGCAAGTAATATATCATTGAGTTTGGGCTAGGGAGAGGAGGTAAGTGGGGACTGCAATGCCCTTTTACACACAGTTTTTTTTCAATGAGAAATTCCTGTTGCATTGCTCGTGATATGGTAAAATGAAGGTTTAATTTTTCAGAGGAAAAAAAATATATTAATACCACAGCAGGATGTAGTTCTCTCATTCTCTCACCTTTTTGGTATGAATTTTTTTATAAAAAATTGGCCTTTATATGTAAAATCAAAACTTTTAACCTTCTTTGGGGGGTGAGCATATGTTTACAGTACCCCAGAGACCAAACAGCTTGTTTAATGGCATACTGGACCCAGCATGCTGTAAAAATAATGATTCAAAACTTATCACATAGATTTTAAAAATCGAGAGGAAACGATTGTATTTAGTTTTCTCTCACACTCCTGTTTATAGAAAAAGCAACCCCATGCTCACAAAACGAAAGACAGACTTCTGGTTCATCTTTAGCAGGTAGGATTTATAATATTTATCTAGCAAAGCCCCATGATAAATCCCTCTGTGAGAGATTTGCACCTGGTGAAGCTGATGGAGCCATAGAAATCCATCATCACCCAAGCACCTGAACTTCCTGATTCTAAGCTGCACGCCTGTTCCCGCTGCCCTGTGAGTCCCCAGGCCTGAAGGAAGTGGAGGTTGGGCTGACAGACACATCTGTGTTTTTGTAGGGCCCACATGCATTTGGCAACACAGCCCACAGCTGGATCACGAAGGATCCACACTCGTCAATGTGCCCTGGAAGCCACTCCATACCACGGAGCTGGCACAAGCCTGGTAGGACAAGTCACCTTCCTCAGACAAGCAAACATAAAGCACTTTCTAATGTGCTGCTCTAGCAACAAGTGCACACTGATTTAATGCCCAGTGACCTTCAGACAGACCTTCTGAACACTCACAGGCAGCTTTGCCTCCAGCTAGAGCTCTTTGGTCTGTAATGAAAATTATTAGGAACCTTGTTTTTTCATTCCTTCTCTCTTGCAGCATGTATGACCACACAGCAGATGCCAGTAAATTATATGCATTTACAAAAGTTATTCAGTAACAGTAACCCAAGCAGCTGATAAATGCAAAGGATTTTGAAAAATGTCTTGAGCTGAAGAGAAATAAATTATTCGTTTTCATTGTTCATGTTCATTTCATTATCCACCTGGACTGCTTCATGCTAGTGAGGACCTCTAATTGCTCTTCTTTCAGGAGGGGAACACATGTACACTCTGACTGCGGTCATAGCCAGGAACTTGGGCCATCGAGACATCCAAGCATGGTTTATGTCTTCTGCTTTCTGAACAGAAGCAAGCCTTTGAGCCTATTTGCATTCTGGAGGGAAACCCTCCAAGGCAGTTAGATTAATCAGTAGTTGTATTAACAAGAATGGGAGCAAGAGGCTTCCCACTCACAGCAGTCTTTCCTCTGTAAATGGAAAGCAAGTCCTTCCCTGGCAGGCTACAATGAGATGGATGCAAATGTTTGAGCCTTCCAGCTGCTGAGCTGTTTCCTCAGCTCCAGCAGCCCCCTAGATGGGAAATGGTGGCACTCTGAAGCAAGGCAAAGGAGAATCAGAAAAGGACTGTGCAAGAAAATTGGTCCTGAATATTCCTGGCCAAACCCCTTGGGCATGTGCCATACAGCAGTGCACAGGCAGGACACAGGTTGGCACAGGCAGATGTGGTGCCAGCAGCAGCACTGGCTGTGGTAGCCCAAGCTGAAGCTGGAGGGGAAGCTTAGCACAGCTTGAGCCTTATGGAAGTTCTATGGAAACACAGAGAACATCCACCTGGGAATGCCCAAAGCATCGTAGCATCTCTTCCAGCCGTATCTGTGGGAGTTTACAGACAGCATCTACATACACCTTCTACTTTAAAAAGTCCCACACCAAAACAGCATTATTTATTGTCAACAAAACTTAATTTTTCTTCCTCATTTCCTGCCCTTTTTTTTTTTTGTTAAACCCTACAGAAGAGGGAAAAATAGGCAGGGAAGTATGAGAAGAAGTCAGAACAAAATGGTTTTTGTTATAAATCTATAATGAAAGTAAAGAGACTATTTCCTGGAAAAGTATTTCTCTCTATGAAAACTGCCTAACAAGGACAACAGCTGGGGCTCTCTGTAAAGGTGTTTCTGGTATCTCACTTGTGACATGCTGTATCTATTGCACAGTACTCCAACATGCAGAGAACGTGTAACACTTTCCCCAGCAGCAAGGTTTCTGAAGAAGACCTGGCATCCATATCAGAAACCAGTGCTTCCCACATAAAGACATCAATAGACTGTACTTCCTAAATTCTGTATTCACTTTAGAGTTGGGAAAATTTCAGGTAATGATGAAACACACACTCCTATCTTGTTCCTTCTGCAGCCTTCTTTCATCTCTAAGGTAAAAAATAACCTTCAAATTAAATGTGTACTGGAACTCCTTACAGATACCTTTTCAGAATTTTAGTCACACTTCTGTAATCTGGTATCCCCTCAGATTTGACTGATAAATACCAGTGCCTTAGAGCAATCCATTTATCTACTGTCCCACCCTGCCTCTGTTTAGCCTTACCAGTCATCGCTTTCCACACGTGACATCAATCTACATGGTATCAATGTAAACTGTTTGTATAACAAAGTGTGGTACATTTTATTGTCCTGCCAGCAATGAAATGGATAAAATAGTATTTTGCCTGTTGTCTTCAACAAAGGTAGTATAATTGACACCGTACATTTTGCTATACAGATAGGGAACCACACATTGGTCAGTTTTTTCTTCCTAACACAGCAGGGTTTACAAGTTTTACCACATCATTATTTTCACAACAAATACTTTGAAACAGTAGTTTTGTGGGTTTTTTTTGGTTTGGTTTTGTTTTTTGTTTTTAATAGGGATTTAAAAAAATCTGCTTCTTAAACCAAACTAAATTTTAAATACATATTATTCATTTCTATGGCTAAGGTGTCTGTAGCTCTGGTTTGATAATGAGATAATTGCCTTGCAAAGGTCAAGAGAATGGCATAGTTTGCTTTCAGACACTGAACAAAGCACTTGCTATGGTTCACTAAGCATAGTTTCTGCATCACTCCACATCTCTTTGATTCATCTATTACTAATAATCCATGATACACTTACATTATGGATCCAACTATTTCAACAAACCTGTAATCAAGGAATGACCCTGAATAAAATACTCCACAGAAAGCAGATGGTAGACTCATCAAACGCCTTCAAGCCTAAAATAACCTTTCCCATATAAAAAGGAGAGTCAATTAAAACTGAACTTTATATTCTAAGCTGGAGCTCAGAGTAAATAAAAATCAACATGATACTATTGTGTTTATTGGACCAAACTTCCAGGGCATTTCATTCATTTTTTTCACCGCCCCCACCCCCTAAGAGCAACCAACACTTTTATTCATAGTTCATTCAAAGCCTGTAATGTTTTGTGTGAGTGTGAGCAGACTTGACAGTTTGGGCCTGATCCTGAAAAAGCTTGACAGCACAAAACTAAAACTACTCCCAACAGTCATGTGCTCCAGTGGCAACACCATATGAGGAAGGTTCTCATCTGCCTGTTGGGAATGGAGTAGTAGAGCAGCACAGGAGCACCATCGTACAAAATGCCCCAATGCCACAGGTTGGGTCAGTTCTTCTCTGCCAAGACAACAAGGCCTGAACTGGGTACCAAGCTCATAGCCAGCATGCTTGAGTTTGGAAAAACAGAGAGAGGACTCTCCCATCACAGGAATCACTGAAGCCCTTCCCTCTCATTCTCATCATAAACGCATAACCAGAAATTTGCCCTCTAAGAGACCACAAGAGCTTCCTTGCAGAGATGTAGGGGTCTCACATAGTGGTGTACCCATCATTGTGCACACAGACTTTTCTAGCACTAGCTGCAGTGCTCATCCATCTGGTGATATGGGTAATAAAACTTCATTTCCCAGCCTGGGTACACTGCTAACGAAACTACCCTGCATCCATCACTGGAGTTACCTGGGCTGTCTACACGAGGTGCATTCTGCCACACATTCGCAGCACATCCGCTGTCCTTGGGTCAATCTGACACCAAAAACAAAACGTGTGAAATCACCTGGCTGCTATGAGGTGTCAAATCTTGCAGTTCTCTCTGAAACACACCAGCTACAGCCGATATTTGTGCAGGGCCCTGGGAGCGTAAGCACGGCTAGTGAGTGCTCTGCAACAGCGACTGGATGCACAGGGACTCTCTCCTATTTTGCATTTTTTAACATATTGCACCAATAATGACTTTTAAAAAACCCCAACACACTTTGTAAAGCTTCTGGAAAGACATAGGCTATAGGTGAATTGTTAAGGTAGGTGAATTTCAAACCCAGACAAGGTATCCTTTCACTCATACCAAGTAACTGTGCTACATCCTCTACTTACGTAACATATCTTTGTTTGTGATAAACTGAAGCTGCAATACTGAGATCACCGGTGGCTAGAAGCCTTAAGTCTCAAAGAGGAAAGAGCACATTTGGTATTTAACATTTCAATCACAAATAGCATTGGTTCACTTCAAAGGAATCACATCTTCCCTCTGGAAACCAGTGGACACTTAAAAAGACACGTCTTTACTCGAGAGACGTAGAAAATAGTTGTAACATGACTTACCAAACTCATCACATATACTTTCATTTTCTATTAGGGTGGGGTGATCAAATGTATCCCGACAATAGAAGATTTGGGGGTTCTTGCTTGTTACTGCAATGCCTCCAAGGGCTAAAACAAACTGGTCTGTTAGTATTGAGGAGGGTTTGTCCTGAATGCGCTTTAACATGGAACGGTATCGACAGTACTGGGGGTAGCTGAGAATCAGCAGGTTTGAATCTTCGTCATCCTCACCTGGAAAAACAGGAAAAAGAAAAACCTCTTAGTATGTCAGAAAAATAAAAACCTCAAGTATCTCAGAACATGCACAGCACACAGTTCAGTCTTTTCTCAAGGCCTATCTTTTATAGTACAGTTTGGAAAGAAAGGTTAAATATAGAAATTTAAAGGTTAAAAATAGAAGCTTAAAGAAAGTTTATTAAAACAGCTTAATTTCTAGCTTTCTGTTCAGTTCTCCCATGCTTACTCACAAGGACTACCTGGATGAGCAAGAAAACACTGCTCTGCCAAAGCTGGCCAAGGGCCTGAATGAAAGCATTCTCCATACTTTGCCAACTTGGCTGCTTCGATAGAAATATTATCTGTCATTTTCACTTGGTTCCCCACACAGCTTTACTGCACTCATGTTTACAGCAGCTAACATCTTTTAAAAATAATAATATACAAGCCCCAGAGCATACAGCTATTAACTCTGCTTTGAAGTACCTGGCACTGGTACTACCAAGGGGCCCCTTGGCCAGGGAGGTGGGCTGGTCTGACCTGGTCATTGTTGCTAAACGGTAACAGGTGGAAGTAACTTTCCTCGCATTAACTGCAAATGCAGCAGGACTCAATAAAACACCTACAGAGCATAACGAGCAAATGAATTTTAGAACAGCTGGTACTGCTGAAATGTGGGCTCAAAATGTAAAGCAATCTAGAGCTCAGACCTTTCCATTCCTCCAGGTTTTAGATGACATTATGGGTAAAGGCAGCAGATTCTGTAATATCGCAATCAAGTGTCATCATACGATAACCAGCAGGAAACTCAAGAGCAAAAAAACCCAACCACAGATGTAAACATGAGAAATTTCTCATTTGCAGGTATGCAAGCCAGTATTTAACAGCACTTCTTTTTATGTTCATTTATCTCCTCAGAGCATGTCTTCCTAAGTATGCCAATAAAGACAAAGTAAGAGCATTCACTTTACCTTTTCTGCTGTACTCTGATAACTGAATAACTAAGCTATTTCTTCTTCCAGAGACAAAAGGTCTACTATTTAATCCCATTACCAATCCTGAAATCATCATTCTTACCCTTAAAGTAAAAATCACTTCAGACACTGAGAGAAATGTCAGATCAGTTCTCCCCAACTAAATACGATGGCACAACTCATCTAGATTCGTGTGAGGCAATGGAAATGTTGACACATAAAAGGCTAAATTTTAAGAAGTCTCTGGAAGCAGATATATCACCTAGAATGTCATCACAGCAGACAAATGCAATGACCAAAAAAAAAAAAATCAACACGGCAGACGCACTTGCGAAGTACTGTTTTTACAAGCACAGCTCCTGAAAGTCATCACTTTTAAAAACTCAGAACTCTCCCCACCATTCTGATGTAGGTGGGGAGATAAAACAATTCGTGTAAAAAAAAAAAGAAAAAAAGAGTATGAGTAATACATTTTGGTAAACAGCACTGAGATTACTTTTCTAGGAAAATAAAATTTATGGTCCTAAACCCTCTTCTGGTCAATAAGGATGTGGTCATGCTTTTCTTCGTTTCAACAAGTATCCCATAAGCCTACACAACGGCATGATTCCCACTGCTCCTGGGAATAAGGCTGTCTCTTCTTTATTAGGAAACTCTAAAAATCAGATCAGGAAAACTGTTCTAGGAATTAACAAGCTCATGTTCCGTCCCTCAGCTCCTTCGAGAGTTTCACGTACGCCTGCCTGACAGTTATTACTACTTTATACCTTTGTGTAGATAGCAGTGAGCTGAATCTGTTGATCTGACAGCACTTTTCTTATGCCAGGATGTGGTCAGCTTTTTAAACAGGGTGTATATAAATGTATGTCCCACGTGCCTTTGTAGTAAACCATTAGTTTCTAGACAAATGTGCTGTAAGTCCCTTCACAGAATCACACAAACTTTGTACCCCTGACAACTGACGACTTAACTCAAACCCCTGGCATAAATTAAAATCAAGTAATTTTTTACAGGATCACTTTTATACATGCTTGTGCAACTCCAATGAGTACTTTATGATGCGGTTTTTTTCTTTTTTTTCACTCCAGTTCAATAAATACATCTAAGAATGAACAAAGGCTGAATAAACCGAAGATTTGTTTAGTGAAAGGCAAATAGAGTGTTCCTGGAACAAAGACTTTATTCCTCAACCACGCCCACATGAAAAAAGAGAAATCAAAGTAGACCAATCCCTAATAAAATAAAAGCCCAAAGAAGAACTATTTTTTCCTTCCAGCAAAACCTAACACGTGCCATTTAATGGTGGGCTTAGTGAACATTGCCGAGTATTTTTCATAGATATGATCAGAAAGAGTTTAGTAAACTCTTAGGAGAAGCAGAGCTCAAAATGTGGATCACATTCCTATAAAATTAGGAAAAACAACGTAATTTCTAAAAATATTTAACTGAGATATTAGGGAATGGAGATGCTGTATTTCTGAATCTCATTTTAGCTTCAACAGACAGAACATGGTAAAAGATAATACCTACAGTATGCTGCTTGTAAAGCTCAACTGAAATTACTCTAATCCCATGCTTATGGCATAATTGTGTGGTTTAATAACCCCCTCCAATGTCAATTTTTCATTTATTTTTATATTTCAGGCTGAAAACAGAGAAACTGTAATTAGGAAGCAAGGTTCCAACCCTGCCTTCCGAGCACTGCCTATATATGCATAGATGTAATCCAACAGTTCCCTTTGTGAGGGGTAAAGAGAGCTGGGATTTGGCACAGCCTGGCATTTATGTTGGATTACATGTTCTTCAAGTTGTCTTTGTAAGTAAGAGACGCATGAAATGCCAAACACAATGAATCTATGCAAGAACTGACTTTTCAAATCAGCACAACCATTTTTAATATGTAAGGTAAGACAATTAAATGCCCCAAAAGAAAAAAAAAATAAAGCCTGCTAAGAGCATGAATTCCTAACAAATCCATCTAGAGCCAGAAATATTTATGGAGAGACAAGAGAAATACAAAACTGTAACACTCTTTTTGTTCGTTTCAGAAACATCAGCCTATAATGTTATTGCTAACTGCTATAATCTACCCTCAACATCAGTAAGCATTTTTTTCTTTAAAAAGACCTTCACACCAGGATTTTATAGAGCTTGATGGAAAAACTATGCATGTTCCTTCCTGTACCTAATTACCTCAACTGCAAAAGCTGCCAAGTATTTTGCCCTTTAGTTCTTTTAATCGTATTAGTGCAAATGCATTTGGATGCCAACAGAAACAAACATTTAAAGATTTTTGCTTAAAAGATTCCAAATATGTACGAGGCTGGTGCTAGGAAAGCACACTCCACTTCTTCCCAGAAAGCACAGAGTTATTCCTGCAGAAGAAATATGAATTTGTGCCTCTTGTAAGACTAAATGTCTAGTTTCGACCCAATTTAAGTAAAATAATGTCAATATGAACTGCTCTCACAATGATTTATGCTACCTTCTGTTACTTTATTATATTAGACATTCCTTTCTCTAAGCTTTATACTTTTCACTGTGCTCCTAGCAACCACATAAAGGCTGAGCACCAACTTTATGCGCCTGGCACCCTTCCAGGCTCGACTGTTATTGATAATTATATTGAAGTTTCAATTTAATTGCTACTCTGTTGTGACACAGAATATTTTTTGCAATTAGGCTTTTCCCATTTTCTGTCCATTCATTTTTTGTATTTGTAAAAACGATTTCCCCACCCCCAGAAAACACAAGCAGAACAAGGATACAGATAAGGGTCTGTACATCTGTTACTGTCATTACCAACCTGGTAATTGGAAAGGAAAAAAAAATTCAAGAAAAAAAAATTGTACATATAATTTCTTGGAAGGTATATTTCAGTTAAAGTGTTCTTTTTCTTTTTACAGTAATTCAATGATTTCCTGTTCTAATTGCAAGACATTATACAGGAAATGTACTAGAGCAGGAGCCTCACTTGCTTGGTATGGTTTGAAATTCCAAACTTTTGCATCTCTTTTATCAATTCTCTGCTCTACCTTTGTGCAATATATTCTACCACAAATCTACCATCTCTTCTGAGGCAGTTAACACAAATGTATACATCAAAGGGGAAAACACACTTGCAGTTAAACTGCAGGGAAAAGAGAAAAAAAAATCATTTTTTCCTCCTCACTGTAGCTGGTAAGTTGGAGGCAAGCCAAGCCTTGGAGTGGAAAATATTAAAAAGTTAAAAAAAAAAAAAAAAAAAAGCAAGCTTGATTAAAAAGCGAGAGAAGAGATATTCAGTTCTAAATCTAAATGAATAAGCCACAAACTATTTCATAAAAACATACTGTGACGTAAATTACACATCAGTATTGCACTGTTGTGGTTATTTTGAGAAATGGCTTGTACTGTAAGTCAGCTGGTAAAACCCCACCCTTAATGATTTTGTAATTCTCCATACAGCAATCAACTGGAGCAGTCATGAAATTGCCAAGAAGGAAAACAGACAGAGCTGTAGAGAGTTTGTAATAAAAAGATAATGTACTTTTAACATAACAGAAGTAGAAGATTGGTTTTATTAACTAAAAAAACTACTTAAAAGGTCCCAGGCTTGCCATTTGTTTTGATAAATGTTGACACAGATCTTCATAAGATAAGCAATGGAAGTATCAGGGGAACCAGATAAAATGGGACAATGCTTTGGTGTGTGGGTAGCAAATCGAGCAAGGGAGTTATTTGGAATACAGAGCTAAAATGAAGGAAGTTGCAGGCTCTGTCTGTCAGGCTCCTCTGCCGCACAGTGCCCTCACTGCTCTGCCTCCTTCCATTGCCCTCAGTTACTAAGGGGGTCTCCCAAAGGATTCACACATCATAATTAGTTTATCATTGCTTGTATGCATGGCTTTGACCACGCCATCAATACGCCGCAGACACAGAGGTAATGGAGGATACATCTGGATGTCTGGAGGGATTGGGAATGGCAAGGTGAGCCGTGTTGAATGAATATGGTTGTGACTCCCAACACGGAGCGTCTCCTGACTATTGCAGTGCATTGTT